CTTTACCATGATGGCTTGACGAGCTTGCTCCAGCTTCACAAGAGTTCACAGGTTTCACCAGAGTGAGACTTGTAAACCGGAACTAGTGAAGCAACGAAAGTGCAAAATGCCCCCCACTCCCGTCGCCGAACTGCGCCTTGATATACTTTGGAGGTGGCAAATGGCCAGCTTACCACGTGCGTAGCCACGGTATCAGATCCTGACTTGGCTACCCCCCACCCAGTCAAACAAGGACTTCCACCCTCCGGGAACGGCGAAATGGTAACAGATCCGTCTGGGAGGATAAGAACGCTGACTTGTACCCGACTAGTCTCCACAAGTCTTTGTATAGACCGCATCGCATTCAACGGACCCCTACGATTGTGGATGGATTTTTTAGATCAATTAATTGATATATTCATTTATTACAACGGGATTTGCCCCTCATCGTTGTAAAGAAATTTGAAATAAACCGATCATTGAAATAATATCACTTGAATTTTTCAGACAACAATGGTTCGGTTGGCTCTTTCCTATATCAAACTGCATAGAGTGATTCCGAGTCCGGCTCCGAGCATATTCGGTGTGAATTTTTCTTAATATCTATTACCGATTACCTTCATAATAAAGCCTCCTCTAGCTCCAGAGCTAGTTATGCTTATAGTTATGCTTATTTTCAGATTATGACCACTACTGGGCAAGTAGCCATCTAGAGGTAGGCCACCCAAGAACCGTATAGGGTTTACCACGTAATTTTCCATGACATTGCAGCTGATGGATTGTTTTCTAATGGTCTTGGACCCAGATGGTGACGTGCTTTATGTGAGCGAGACTATCAGCATTTATCTCGGACTGTCACAGGTTCCCTGCTTAGATTGCTTATTTCAAATATAGGCGCTGTTTGGTTGGAGGGGGAGGGGGGGGGGGGAAGAAGCACGTTGCACCTCGGTGTGCCTTTGTAAAGTCTAAGCGGAGCTCTTGCTGTTGCACAGATCTCCTGAAATTAAAAGATTTTCCAGAACACATCGGCAATGGCATACGGGAGTGAGCAAAACGCCCCACCAAGCCAAACAGCACCTGGAACTATACCAGATAAAAATGCATCAGTTCTCATATTGACGTAATTTGGAAGTCGGCATGAATAGACGACAAGAAAAACTCTACTTGTTCTGTTGTGATTGCAATAATAAATAGTTTTTCAGGTAGATATGACGGGGAATTCCATCGCAGAGTATATCCATCCTCAAGACTGGGCCCAGTTCCATTCGGTAGATTTTGAGCGCCATTTCACTAGCGACAGATTGGTAGGGCAAAGTGTCTTTTCAGGTATTCTCCTCATCGGACGTTTGGACGGAAATGTGCAGCGTCCGTGTAAAATCATCCCTAACAAAACGCGCCAACAAGAAGGATTCATTGCGGGCATCACCTGGTTTCAAGGTTTTTAGCACCCTTTCGGCACTGTTCGGCTTGGATGGGGCATCGAATGGTAACGATTTTCGAAATTTTCGGAGAAAACGACACCCTCTCCCTGATTTCCTCTTCAGTACTCTGACGCAACCCACTTCTTCCCCCATCTTACCAACCTTTTTCCTAGATTTTCCCAACCCAACTTCCTACGCCTTTTCAACTTTTTCCACGTTATTCGGAATCTTCCGACTAGTTTTTTCCTTGAAATTTTGCTTGTCACGCGGAAGGGGAGGGGAGGGTGTAGAGTTCCTCCTCAGCAAGGGGAGGTCGTTCAGGGCGGTGCGTGAGCTTTTCCAAAATCCGTCTGTGCGTATTGAGGCGGCACATAACGAAGCGACCAGAAAAACTGAGGTCCATTTTCGCTGCGCGCTTCCACGAATAAAAAAAAACGTAAAAAATAGGTCGATGGTTCGGATCCCACCGAGGACAAAATTTTGCTTTTCTACAATTTTTCATTTTTGGATCCATGTTTGTCTAAATAATTGGTCCTAACAAAAACATTCACGATAAACTGAACAATCCTACTTTTATGGAGCAAAACTGCTTTTTCGTTCGAATTCGTTAGTATGCACAGACTCAGCTCTTCGGCGCTATGCCGGTGCCAGATGGCACTGGAACCGAAAATAAAGTCTAGAATCGTGATCAGGACTGTCGATTACCCGAGGAGCATAGCGAGGCAATCTGAGCGAAAAAATTTTTTTGACTTTTTCGGGTTGTAGGTGACCGACCATTTGGTCGGCAGTGTGAGCGGAGTCTCACATCTTCGTAACAGCGATGACGTATCGTTGACGCTACGGACCCCGGACAACCCAATAAGCAAACCCAAGAACCCAAGAAGTCAAATACAACTGTTTTACCAAAAATCGTTTTTAGTTGTAATCTGTCCTGATAACAAATATATTCTTGGCGTCCACGCAATCTGGCGACAGAATAGCGCTGAACGTTCCCTATATTGGTGTACATAATGAATTCCAGTGGAAAGAAGATGTGGCCCCAAATTGTCTATAATCGCACCATACCAGAATTACTAAATTCGCAATCAGATTCACTGTATAGCCTATGAGGATCAACGTTCAGCAACAATCTTGCTCAATGGTGCGTGAGAATCGAAATAGTGATATTAGCATGACTCATGAGTATAGCTACTCAGGAAGTGTGCCCACAAATGGCCAAATATCCCGATCAGACAACACAATGGAAGCCAGAGAAACTCGCCGATAATCTAAAAAAATGCAAAAAAGCGACGACGCAAGGGGAGCCGAACCATCAACCCCACCCCCACTGTCCGATTGCGAAACCTTCACTCTATCCACTAGGCCATCCGATGCTCGACACTGCTACCGCCCCTCTTATCGTTTGATGAAAACCAGTCAAGAAGCGTCTCACCCTTGGCTGCACACATTGACCCAAGTTGGGAAGCTCACTTGCGGCGATTTTCCGCTTCGATTCAAATAGCCCCTTTATAAGGACCCCCACACAGCAACTGGTCAAAGTTGCAAGTGACCCACGCCGTAAAGAGGCCCAGAACGAAGCAGATTCCAAAGATTTCTTTTCACTCGTTTTTTACCGTTCCTGGAAGCGCGCAGCGAAAATGAAGCACACTTTTCAGGTCCTTGCGTGAGCCCCTACAATATGCAACAAACCGTTTTCGAAAAGCGCACCACGCCCTGAACGACCTCCCTTGTCAGAGCGCAAATACAATCTATACAAACTTATAACAAGCGTCGAAACAAGTAAATTAACTAATTACAAGAAAAAATTTCCGTCCAACCAAATTGCGACCCCCAACGACCGATACGACCCCCATGCCTGGGAAATACTAACGTATGGTAATCAGCCTAAGCCTGCGTACGGCGCCATCTTGCCTGAAAAAGCTTGCGTAAGAACTCCTATTGACGAGAATGCCCCAACATTGCGCCATTGACTTCTCACAAGAGTATACAAGTTCCACCAGAATGATACCTGTAACTCAACCTGAACTAACAAAATAAGTAGCCATAGTGTAAAATGCACCTTCCAAGCCAAACAGCGCCCATTTTTCTCACTCATGTTTCCTAGTATACGAACTGTTCCTGCTGGTGTCAGCTGACTTGAACCTGAAATTCCAAATCATCTAAGGTGCTCCGGATGGATATGACGTTTCTATGATGGATGTCGTCTAGTCGTCTGTTCACCGCTTCCGTCACCGATTCTGTCATCAGTTTCGATTCAACCAGCCTCGTTCGTCATAACGACAGCCATCGACCTTACAATCATTTACATGGACAGCAGGTCGGAGATCCTCCTAACCCTTTGAATTCACAACTCACAGAATATAATATTAAGAGGGGGCATTTTTGATGTGGGTAACGGATAGGGGTAGCTTCATTTGATTGCTCACTCGACATAGGTATGGTTATTGCGCCATTTAGAGCAGAAGAGCTATTCCGAGAGTGTCAGAGTTGCTCAGGATCAAAAGGAGTTTCATTCTATTCAATCGTTCACGTCGATGATGTAGAAGTCGTTCGAAAAATGCACATCGAAGGTAAGCCACAGTCTTTATGGGTGCACCATTTGGGGGCGTTCCTGCGTACCTACTTTGGCGCGGCTCCAGCTCTTCTCACCGGCCATTGCTACCACGAGGCGGGTAGTCGTTGATGGAAATATGCTGCTTCTGTGCCAAACGTAGTTTCGCTACGGCGCGGTGAAACAATTGCTTTTGCCTCCCGGTTCTACTCACGAGATCATCGCGGAATGTGTCCTATGAAGGACGACTTGCCGCAGTGAGGGTTCCCAGTTTCTTTAATATTTATCGTTCTTCAAAAAGGATCCAAACCCATTTTTTTACAGTGTTCAAGCTCGAATCGTACCGTCCTCCAATTTATCGGATGTTCATAACTCCTGGACAACACTCGTTTTATGTTGAGGTGGGTGAATCGAGTGAGCCTGCTCGACAATAGAAAGAAAAGTTGAGATGGCAGCAATAGAAAGAAAAGTTGTGTTTCATATCTCTTTGGAGGAATGACAATACTCAAGTCACTCTTGTCGCGAGTAGGGCACGTCCTACGTCGGGACGGGGGTCGTATTTGGTCGCTGAAGGCAAGAAGATAATAAAAAAAGTGGTAGAATTCTGGGAAAATCTAAGAAAGTAGTGGGTAGGATGGGGAAGAGAGGTCGTGTTTTCCTCGTTGTCTTTTTCGTTTCACATGTACAATGCCCCTCGCTCCACAGCGATCGTATCACCTGAGAGAACTATGGGGGGGGAGGGTGGTATCAAGCCGCTTTCACGAGGGGGGGGGTCGTATGGACTCAACAAAATCTCCAACTAATAATGTGCCTGTGTGGAAACAATTACGTCGTACGTTAGATCCCCAGCGGGAGGTCGTGTGAGAGAATTCAGAGTTTTTCTTGATTTCACATAATGGCCATGTGCATATCCTACGCGCTCTCCCCCACTCAATAGACCAAAATCCCCCCCCCTCAACAGACTAGAGAAATTTCCGGGAAAATCCGGAAAAGCTAGTAGGAAGTTGGGAAAATCTAGGAAAGTGGTAAGTAGGATGGAGAAGGGAGGTCGTATCAGAGGAGATAGCTGGGTGGGGCCGCAATTTTTAAAATTTTCTCCAGTAAGACGGAGCCTGTTCGGAATATGGGAACACTCACTATTAGGATGTAGGATGTGCAAGAGGAGTCGCATCATAGAAGGAGTTCCTGACCTGAGGGAGAGGGGTCGCATTTTCCAACAATTACCTCAACGGCAAGACATGCTGTGGTAGTGAAAGTTGGTGAATAAGCCTGATTCGACAATACTTCCTCGACTTACTGGAATTTCGGAAGGTATCAGCCTAACCTAACACGTGTAGATGCTGCACCATTACAGCTGTATCCCTAACAGGTTCATTTAAGGAATTTCGGAACAATTTGACTAACAATAAGGCAAATTCGTCTGAGGTCTCCTTACGATTAACATCGTTACTTTTTGTTTCAGTCCAACGTATTCCGCTACACAACGCAGTCAAACAAAACTATCGTTGATTCAATCACTATCGTATCTCAAATGTTATGAAGGATCTGTAAGAGATCAGGCAGAAGCCTATAAGTCAGCGATCGGAGGGTGAAATTCGATTTCCTTAAATATTAGGTACAATGCAATGCTGTAACTCAACCTTACCGTAACGCTGTTATTACGTTGTTTGGATGTGTTTTCCCTATAGAAAAAATAAATGTGCGAAAATAAAAGCTCTAGAGTTCGACCGTACGCATATGTTTGTGTAGGAAGTCACTGCAATAAAATCTCAAAGAGAACCTTGAATTTAACTCCGTAGATTCTGATCATTGCCATCGGAGCCACACGCTTAACCTAGCCAAAGCATGCTAAACGGTCTCAGCCCTATCACTCCTGGTTGTTATTTACCTCCAACAGCGTAGCATAGACACGAGAGTTCCACCTTTAGGATGAGGAAGAAGTCATTCGCTACCACACAGCACCGTTCCAGTGCATTCAGCGGAAAGCCTGGCACGTTACTAAAGCTGGAAGGGTAGAGCATCGTGACGTGTGTAATCGCGTCTACGACCCCAACCTTCCAGACGTGGATTCCTCATCTGGTAAAACCCTATCCGTATAACACCTACCATGTTCCTGTCATTTTCTACTTCTATTCCCAGTTTTCCGTACATTTTTACAGTTTTTATTTCCGAAGAATCGGGAAGCAGGAGAGGTGGTCGTCACCAGTCAAGTACTAATTTCAACTTTCAGTAGTCGTATTTCAGCTGTGCGGTGCAGTAATTGGGTGGGAGGGGAGCCGATGGGAGGGGCGAATGCAGGCGAGGGTAATAGAGAAACAGAACGGGAAAGAAAATGAGAGGAGGTCGCATAAAAATGAAAAAACTCTCATAGTTCGCAAAAAAAACTGCACAAAGGCAAGTAAGACTCCTCTCTCCCCATCGACCTGGTACGACAACGCACAGTTAAAAGGCGGCTCCAGCATTTTACCAGTCTTGTTCGCTGCGGATGGTGGGGCGTGTCAGTCTCCACCGTTCCTGAAGCGAGTAAGCGATAACTACTAGAGCGTGACTGATACAAACAATATGATACAGACTTGTCACTTGCCGAAAGAAAAAGCAGAGGAAGGGCTTGACACTGCGCCAAACCCATCGATCCTGACGCGCTCTATCATCCGTAGCTATGATGGCGCTATCATTTTCCTGCATTTCTCGTCCTGCAGCTTCGTTTCTTACTCAAAAGTGGGTTTTGAAGGCGGTGTCTGGAGGCGGAGTCACTGGAGAAAAGGAGGCATCACTGAAATTGTATTGCGCTATAGCGCCCCACCCTTACGCTTTTTTTTTGCCGCGAAACCGGTACAAGGTCAAATTATTGTTGTACTTGAGCCGACCAAGATTGTTAACGTTTATTAGGCCAACGTTTCGGCTTCCTCGCCTTCGTCAGAGCCTGAAAGAGTCCGAAACAGTTGTGATTTGCTCTCCCAAACGCCTTAAAAAACTGAGTTTCTCAAAAGGGTCTTCAGTTTTTGCTAAGGCGTTTGGGAGAGCAAATCACAACTGTTTCGGACTCTTTCAGGCTCTGACGAAGGCGAGGAAGCCGAAACGTTGGCCTAATAAACGTTAACAATCTTGGTCGGCTTAAGTACAACAATAATTTGACGGAACAACTATGCCAAGATTAAGAAAGAGTCGGTCTTGGAGGACGGTACAAGGTCGTTCGTCGCGGACCAAACTAATATCCCGACGCCATATTTCCAATTTCTATACGGCTGCGTTTATATTTTGCGGCAGCGTCCACCAGCGACCACTTGCGTTCCGAGCGTCCGGCAGCTCAGCGACTAGGTAAGTATAGATATCGATCTGGCGTCACCAGCGACCATCAGCGTCCAGCAGTATCTCGGGGGTTAGGGAAGTATAGGTATCGATCTAGCAAGCCAGCGTCTGCCCACGTCCACTAGCGATCAGCAGCG